CTCTGTGTTGAGCGAAGCACATCGGATAACACAAGGAGCTCAATCCTTTAACCACTCCCATGGCTCTTCTCTGAACACTCTCCATTTAGCAACATCCTTCATGAATTGCGGACACCAGAACTGGACACGGGATTCCGGCAGCGATCGCCCCAGTGCCAAATACAGAAGTAATATAACCTCTCTACTCGAGATCCCCCTCTTGACATTATGTTTATAACATGACTGCCATACTGGATCAGAACACTAGTCGGTCTAGTTTCTAAGAGAGACTGGTATGAGATGGGAGTGCAGGCTGTAGTTTTGCTAATCCCAGCAGTGGATGACGTGGTGTCAAAGTATCAGATCCTGAGCAATGAGAACTTCCCTTCTGCAGCTTGCCAGGATAGCAGCACACAGATGGGAGTCACTGGCATCTCCTTCTCCCTGCCACAGCTCGTCAGGAACCAGCCTGCCTAATGAGAAACACTAGGCACATAAGAGGGGAGCATGTAACAATGTGACAGGAGGTTTGCCATTTGTCCCCGGCCTTACAGTTCATTATCTGAGATCTCACCGAGGGGAAGAAAAAATCAAGTTCACTTGTGGGAAGGCAGAACCCCATGTCATATTTTTAAAGCGAGCTTCGCACACATTAGCCCAGAGGTAACCAAAGGCAGTGACTTATCAATGCCGGTCTGTTGATCAGCTCTCCTGGACTTTTGTTGCGGCCTGTGTGAACAAGCTGTAATGCAACCCTGCAAAAGAACTGGAATACGAACATTTGGAGGCAACGGCATGACATTTTGAAGCAGTACAAAGTAAAATACTTGTGATAGTTGTACTACTATCTGACTGAAGAACAGCAGAGGAACTAGATCTTATTACCCAGCACAAACCCAGCTGATGGAAAAACACCCCAGGGAGAACACGGTCTCTCAAAATTCTAGCATTTATTCTGAACAGTCATTGACATTTCAGTGGCCCATTTCACAATTCTTGCTCTTGGACGACAGGTTTGCAACACAATGTGAAGTGCCTTTACTTCAGCCGCAACTGCCTCGATATTAAACTACAGATGTAAGTTTCCCTCAGGATTGTACATGACAATATTGGGGTTAGGATACAATCTAGGACAATATTTCACCTCTAGAGGAGTCCTTCGTGGGAAGAAGCCATAGAGACAGAAAAATAGAGGCTTCCTCACTTAAAGCTCACTCTGGGGCAGGCAAACTTTACAGTAAGGGTCGCATTAGCATCTTGTTGGGAGTCCCAGTGCCCTCCGATTTGGGTGACTACACACAGCCAGAGCAGAGTATTTCTATTTGTGTCCTCCTTGACTGACTGATTTCACCAGCAATCAGCTGGAAGGCGATCGGCTTTGCCTCTACCCTAGTTTTTAGGATTCCACGGACTGCACCTTAGCCACCCTTAACTTTCTATTGCAAAGCAATTAATTTTAGCCAACGTGAAAAAAATAGGCTCCATCTCCAAAAGCAGAGATCTACTGTATGCTTCTGAGTCACGTCCGTTACACACATTAGCCTCAGATGTGATTGTTATTGTTTCAAGTGGGCAAAGTTGACAAATTTCAGGGATTCTTCCTCTTCAACAACTCTCTCCTGAAGACAGGATACACTGAAGCAAACGTGCATGAAACCAGTTGTATTGTCTCCAATGGTGCCAGAACCGGCTGTGATTCAGCTCCCTCTGGAAACAAAGGGCGTATGATTGTCCCTGGGAGCAGGATCACATGGTGAGTACCTGTTTAGATGAGATGAACGGCTTCATGGAGGCCTCCAGGGCAATTTGGTAGTCCTTCAGTGGGACCTGTGTGCAGGCTGGAGCAGTGAGCTGCCCCTTATGAATAAGATCACACAGGGTCAGAATCATCCCAGTCAATCTGTCCTTGTCTGCATGGAAAAGACAAAAGAGAATAATCCTGCCCCTTCCAGAGCTGAGGTGAACAAGACCCACAACGCCACCCAGAAGAAATGAGACAACTGACAAAACAAACAAACAAAAATGAGCTGGTCTTGGCTGCCCTGACCACCTAGCAACACAACACAAGGGAGTGGAGTTCAGGTGCTGAGCTCCTTGGGACAGCAGCTCGGGATAGGGGCAAATGATCTCAGTTTCTTCAGCAACTCCTTCCACACCATTCAAATGCAGCAACATTCACTGATTTTGGAGGGAAATGCACCCAGTTTATATGGCTGGTACAAGATAGACGATCCCACAAGACTCCCGTGTACTGACTGCAGTGTTGTCAAATTGGACAACTGATTTGTTCGGTTGAGAGGGGAGACAGTCCCCTGTGACCTTTCTGACCTTCGGGGTTATGCTACAGGTAGGTAGCTAGCGTCCTGTTTGATGGCCTGCCCTGCTCCCTACACTAGATGTTACCTGCCACTTGCACTGCAGCTTGGTCAGCAACCATCTGGCACACGCTGCTTTGAGCTTAAGGCTGTGTCTAGGTAGCTTCTGCCCAGTCCACACAGCCTCAAAGCAGGAAGGGCCTGAAACACGTTAAATGCATCATGCCTGACTTATTTTAAATTGCAAGTGCTGAGCAACATCAGAGTGGAGCTGAGTAGATGGGCCTGGACCAGTCACAACTGTTTAAACTCAACATTGTAGTTTGTTGCGGTTTCCTGGCCAAATGCACTAACAGGTGCTGAGGCCGAGGGCTGATCACAGATTCTGTGGCTCAGGGGCATGGCAGGGGAATGATACAGCTTGTGTTTCTCTGGATTAATGAAGGAAACTCTCCGGGTCAAAACTTGTCACCAGCCTTCACCCACTTGTGCTTTTTGATGTCTAGAAACCCAGCTCGCAGAAGATTTATCTGCTCTTCAGACGCTGAGTTTGAGGGCTGCTTTGCCAGTATTTCCCCAGGAGGGCTTATGCCAAACTAAAAACTGGAGATTCTGCAGGATGTGTTCTGTGCTCTGTGTTTCTAGGGCCTCCCTAAGAACTGGGATGAGAGACGCATTATCTTGTTGTCCAGGTTGGACAGGAAGCCAAGTACTCAAGTGCTAATTCTTGTTCTGACAATGACTTCTTCTGTGGCGTTGAACCAATCACTCCACCTCTGTGCCTCAGCCTACGCACCAACAGAAGCAAGGACAATGCTTACTTTCCTCGGGGGAAGGTGGGACCTTAAGAGAACACATTAATACTTTCATAGATTTCCTATGGGCTACATCCCCACTGAAATGACCTTCAACTTACTCTGGGTTTGGTCTTTCTTCCACTGGGTCATCCAAAACCCACGCAGCTTCACATCCTTAAAGATGAATGCACTCTGCAGAAACAAGGTGAGACACATCATGATTCTTGGGGAAACTGTTTACATTGGGCATTCTTCAGTTAGCATATTTCTGCTGCACACGGGCCATGGGAAAAGATTGTCCTTATACAGCTGCTAACACACTTTCCTGCTGCTATGAAGATCTGCAATTCTGCCTCCCTGCCAATGACTTAAAAGAGCCTTAATTCGGGGCAAATTCACTCGGACAACGCAGATTTTTTCTTTTACACACCAGCAGAATGTTAGTCCTCTTCACAATACACTGGCTAGTAAATAGGAGATTAAAAACCAAGGGTTGGTTCCCTCCAAAATGATCACATTCTTCCCAGAGTTGTGATAACTGCAAACATGCATTGCCCATACAGTGCCTGTTTTGTGGCAAAAGAGGATTTCAGGCTCTCTAGCTGTCAAACTGGCACTAAATTTAAAAATTCACGTTCATAAAGTGTTTTGTGTTAGCAACGGGTCCCCACGACCAGTAGAGCTCTGAGAGTCTACAGGACTAAGGTTAAGAACGGTAAAGATTGTTCTGTCCTGGCAAGAGACGCCTTAGCTACTAACTCCAGGTCAGAGCAAGGATCGACACCGGGAAGATCTGCCCCACGGGTGCACCTTAGAGTGAAGACAACATCAGCAATGAGGATTCACCTGGCAGATGCTAAATAGCTGGGTCAGTGACACACTGCGGTCAGTCACTTCATAAACACTGCCACGAGTATTGCAGACACCCACCCAAACCCTGTAAACCAGAAACAGGCAAGAACTAGCTCATTCCTATCACATTCTCAACCAGTTCGAGACCATGGGGCATTGGTTCTGGTGCTCAAATGGCACAAGAAGGTAGTGTTGGAAGTCAAGCGCACACTTCATCCAGTCACTCCTAATGGTAGCGATGCCGCTGCGTGGGAACTGAGGAGCTATAGGGAGTTAGGGGACAATATATAGATGGGGTGAAGCCAATCCCGTGGGGCAGCCAGTTGCTCGCAGTGGATGTTATGGATGGAAAGTTTCAGTGCTGTGGAGTAAGGGCTATGTGAGATGAATACAGAGAACATGTCACAAGCATCTGTTACTTACCACAGGGACAGTCAAAGGCTGCTTTGCCATCCCGCCATATGTAACCATGGTCCCTTTCTGTCTGTAAGGAGAGTCAGGTGTCAGACAATTAATGATCTCCCCTAATAAGGGTCTTCAACCAGACCTGCTCTCCTCCTCCTTCCGAACCCCGCAGATACAGACGCCCTCACACAAGCGGCTCTTTCAATTACTTTGTTGAACAGCTACTTTGTTACTTACTCAACTTGCTTTCTAGCTTCCCCTCCTTCTCACAGAAACCATTAGCTGAAATGCTCACCTAGAGTTAATGGACCCCTCCCACTGCAACAGCCCACCAAGACAATGAGCAAGATACTATAGGGCAGGGTTCTCAAACTGGGGGTCACAAGATTATTCCAGAGGGGGTCGTGAGCTGTCAGCTTCCACCCGAAACCCCACTTTGCCTCCAGCATTTATAATGATGTTAAATAGATAAAAAGTGTTTTTAATTTATAAGGGGGGGTCACACTCAGAGGCTTGCTGTGTGAAAGGGATCACCAGTACAAAAGTTTGAGAACCACTGCTATAGGGATTCTGACCTCATAGCTGGATGTGACCTTCCACTCTTACTAGTCTTTAAAGGTCTGTTACTGTGTGTCATTGGAGAGGAAACCTCCCTAGAGTTGCTGTAAGGTTTTAGATCTCAGTTACTGTATCTTCCAAGAACCCCCTCTGCGTTTTTAACAAGTGACCTGTGTAAGATAATTCTATTCATAGACTGTAAGATCAGAAGGGACCACTGTGATAATGTAGTTTGGCCTCCTGCACAATGCAGGCCACAAAACCTCACCCACTCACTCCTGAAATAGACCTCTGACCTCTGTCTGAGTTACTGAAGTCCTCAAATCTTGGTTTAAAGACTTCATGTTACAGAGAACCCACCATTTACACTGCTTGAAATGTGCAAGTGACCCTGTGCCCCATGCTGCAGAGGAAGGCGAAAACCCCCAGGGTCTTGGCCAATCTGACCCGGGGGACAATTCCTTTCCAACCCCAAATATGGTGGTCAGTTAGACCCTGAGCATGTGGGCAAGATGCACCAGGCAGACACCTGGGAAAGAATTCTCTGTAGTAACTCTAAGCCCTCTCCATCTAGTGTCCCGTCTCCGGCCGCTGGGGTTTTTTGCTACTGGTAGTCGCCTATGGACCACATGCCATTGTAGGCAGTCCCATCATATTTATCCCCTCCATAAACTTAGCAAGCTCAGTCTTGAAGCCAGTTAGGTTTTTGCCCCCACTGCACCCCTTAGAAGGCTGTTCCAGAACTTCACTCCTCTGATGGTTAGAAACCTTCACCTAATATTGAGCCTAAACTTGTTGATGGCCAGTTTATATCCATTTATTCAACTGGTCCCGACCGCTGTCCCCAATCTGGACAAACTAGTTCTTTGAACATGTACTTCTCCAAGTGCTAAACACAAGTCAAAGGAGGAAAACAGCTGAACTTACTGTATGTGGCGCAGCATCTCAGTAGTACTTTTCCCTCCAACGCAATTCAGAGCTAACCGGGGCTTTGGGACTTTCTGGAAGAGTGAAGACAAAAAAAGAAGATTCAGCTCTTGACAACCAAGCCAGATTTCTGTCCAGCAAGAAACACTGAGTAGCCATGTTTTGAATTCCAAGGTTACCTTCTTTTGGGGTCAGGACTCTGTCTGCGGAGGGAGGCAGGTTCACGTGTTTTAGCCCCAAAGTTTGGTCAAACCAAGGGCAGGCCCAGAAATGTACCCAAAGCCAGATTTACCATCTGGGCAGCACAGTAGAAATGAAAACCTGCCCAACACTGCTGGGGCAGCCTCCAGAATCAGAGAGAGGAGTCCAAGGGAAACAATTCCCTGGGAGAATGAAGGCCAACCCCTACTAACTCTTCTGTCTGCATGTTAAATGGTGACGTATATCAGAGCACGGATTCTAGATATCAGCCATCTACATAGTCTCACCTAGTCCATCTCTCTGCCAATGTGGGATGTCCCCTATGGCACTATTATCATCAATACTGCATTTCCACCCTGGTCACCTCGATTCCCAGTTACAGTCGAAACAGAAGGGGCCCAAACGTGGACAATGAAAGTAATTTGAGGTAGAGAGGAAATAGATAAGAGAGACAAGAGAGGATATAAAACAGCGAAAGGTGTAGACGTGGTCAGACACTCCAATTTATCCTCAGAATAGAAGAGCAAGGGGAGATGCAATCAAACTAAAAAGCAACTTTAAAAATGATAAAAGAAAACCGTTTATTATTTTACACCTATGGAACTCACCGCCATAGGATATTATTGAGGCCAAGCGCCTAGCAGGTTTAATTGACATTTATATGGATTAATGAGAACACCCAGTTACATGAGAAGATAAAGTAAGGGATATAGACTCCTGATTTATGGAATAAGGCCCTGATCCTCAAGATATTTTTGCTCTTAGCTTTCATTGATTTCAATGGAAGTTAGGTGCCCAAATACCTTTGAAAATCTGGACCTAAAACAACTGCTCATCTGCCCAGGGGTTAGGAAAGAGCTTCCACTCGGGAAGTTTACTCCATTGTTGTCCATAATAGGATTCTTGCACCTTTTCCTGCAGCATCTAGTTTTTGCCACTACATTAGACAGACCACGGTCTGATCCAATATGGCTATTCAGAGGTTCCAGTATTGTCTTCGGATCCTGGGAATTAGCTTCCTCTTTCTGGAGAGCTCAGCATTACAGTACCTTAAATAAGTCTTTCATCTCTGGCTTTCTCAGCATCTCTTCTGTGATGACATGGTCTGCACCAAGGGATGTCAGTCTGTCTACCACCTCTTGGAGATTGGGTCTGGGGAGGAAGGACAACAACAACAACAACAAAAAGATATTTGCAGAAATAACTGGCATGTTTCCCAAGCCAAGATGGACAGACCTCTGCAGGGCCCTTTGGCCATGTCAGTCAGTTTCTATGAGCTCTAATCTGTAACTTGTGACCCAGGATGAACACACTGGGCTCAGCCCAAACTTTGGGGAAGATGTTCCCTTCCAAAAGCAAGTCTCTTTGGGGGGGGATTTATCTCCTCCTTCCCTTGTCCTGTTATTAACTGACCACGTCACTCCTGCCTCTGTACCCTAGTTTCCTCCACTGGCTTCCTCACTTTCTGCATCAGCTATGAGCCCCTCAGCCTCATCTTCATGGCTCTACATCAGCGGTAGGCAACCTATGGGACGCGTGCCAAAGGCGGCACACGAGCTGATTTTCAGTGGCATTCACACTGCCGGGTCCTGACCACTGGGTCGGGGGGGGGGGGGGGGCGGCTCTACATTTTAATTTAATTTTAAATGAAGCTTCTTACACATTTTAAAAAACTTATTTACTTTACATACAACAATAGTTTAGCTATATTTTGTAGACTTATAGAAAGAGACCTTCTGAAAAGGTTAAAATGTATTACTGGCACACAAAACCTTAAATTAGAGTGGATAAATGAAGACTCAGCACACTGCTTCTGAAAGGTTGCCGACCCCTGCTCTACATGGTGCCATCCAACCTCCCTCTCTGCCCTCATCCCAGCCTTCACTGTCTACCCTCCAAAAACAGCCTTCCTGAGAACTGCTCCTGGTGTCTCCTCCTCCCGCTCCAGTCTGCACCTTCTTTCATGCTGCCTCTTCTGCTTCCCACACACAGGGACCTGTCCTCTCCTAAACGCTTTCTTCTGCAAAGCTTCCTACCCTGAACTTGGATGCCGGCTCCAGCTGTTCCTGCATAAGATCTGCTGGCCCCTGAACACTCACCCACAAGCTCCAAACAGGGCTTCTTGTCTGCTCAGAGTAAGAGCCAATTACCAATCACAGAGTAGGTCGCTGCTTCCCAGCTCAGTGCCTGTTTTACCACCACCAGCTGATGCTGTTCCACCAAACCAAACCACACCCCACTTTCCTACTTCCAGGCAAGAGAAAGGGATGGGACCAGCAGCACTGTGAGGAAGGACAAGCCTCCTGAGCAGGCCACAAAGTGGGAGTAGGCAGAACTAGCTTCTCTGAGGAGCCACCAGGTCCCTCTTCCCTCTGCATCTAGTCTCTCCTTATCCCACGTCCAGATCCACCAACGGTTCCCCCCCGCCTAGCCCTTTGGAACTGGCCAACCTTGGAGTTAAAAATCCTGCAAGACTAGCCAGTGTCAAGGGCTAGTCACGCCCTCTCCCAACAGGAATTTTAACACTCATCTTCAGAGGGGAGACATTTAATACATTCGCTAATCACTCAACGGGCAGCCTCATTCAGAGAGGAAAGGGAAGCCCTATTGTGAAGAACTCCATTGCTGGATTCAGCTACCTGAACGAACGCGCCCCGTTGCCCATTCAGACACGAATGTCGTCTTTCTATCAACATGAGGTATTGCCCAGTTTTACAGCACAGGTTCTCGGCCTCCTTTGGACTATTTGCAGACCAGAGAGAAAAAATGGATGCAGGTTCTGAGATGGTGATCCTGCTAACCTTTAACCTGTCTTCGCCCCACCTCTTTCTATGGCATAATTCCAGCCGGAGTGATTCCCTCGGGTAGATTCATATCAGAGCAGTTAAAGTGAAAAATTCGAGACAGACGGACAAACAAACATCTAAATGCAGCTACTCTTAACTGGCCATAACCCAACCTTTATGCCCATCTCCGTCGTTTCCAAGAGAGAATCCCCTCCCCTCCCACTGAGAATCTAACTCAGACACAGAGAGCAGAATACAGGGTGAAAGGAAGGGGAACTGAGCAGTCCAGGATAAAGCAAAAAAGTTGTTTGATCAGGACAATTTTAACAAATGACCCAGTTCGTAAGAGTCTCTAAAAACCAGGGCCCATTGTACACGCACCTGTCTCGGATCACATTGATTGTTTTGATGCCTAAAGCTGCTGCAATCTGAATAACAGCCTGTCCCACGCCACTGTTGGCTGCATTCTGGATGATGGAATCACCTGCAGCGAAATAAAGAAACCCAAGTCAGCTCTGGCTTGAAGCAAATTTAGTGCTGGAGAAAGATGCGGAGACCTTCAGTCTTCAGGGCTCAGAATATGGTCAAGAATAGGGACAGCACAGACTGCTGCAAGGCAATCTTCCCTGACACTGTCCCGTCAGCATGGCTCATCCCCATTCTGGCGGGCTAGCTCTAGGAGCAAGAAAATAACTAACTGCTTTGATAGCCAACGAGGGATACTGCTAAGTGCTAGCTAGGGTCAACGGAGGTGGTGGGTTTTGACGCAGAGATGTTTCCAAGAGCTGAACTAAGACTCACCAACTTATTTCAGACAGGACCTCAGATGGGAACAACCTTTCAGCCACTATGACCACATTTAAACTAAGGAACTACAACCGAAAGGCTTAATTCCTTCATGATACGTTCATCTGAGAATTTCATTCACCTTAGACCCATTTACTAAGACTTTTTTGGAGAGGCTTTGATTTATTCCCAAGAACCTATTATAACCTGCTTATTTCCTCTAGGCTTGCAAGAAGGACTTGCATCTGACCTAGAACCTTGAAGGCACGAGATACTGATCATAAAATTTGGCCCTCATATCAAGTCATTCATTCATTCATGGAGGACAGGTCCATCAATGGCTATTAGCCAGGATGGGCAGGAATGGTGTCCCTAGCCTCTGTTTGCCAGAAGCTGGGAATGAGTGACGGGGGCTGGATCACTTGATGATTCCCTGTTCTTTTCATTCCCTCTGGGGCATCTGGCACTGGCCACTGTCGGTATACAGGATACTGGGCTAGATGGACCTTTGGTCTGACCCAGTAGGGCCATTCTTATGTTCTTATTCAAGTACTTTGCAAACACTCATTTACCCTCAGCTGGCAAGCTCCTTGGGCAGAGGCTGTGATGGGGGTATCTAAACTCCACGCTGGCAATCACAGGCTTAAAGGGAACCAGAGAGCCTAGTTAGCCCATTCTATGACACCTGGAGGAGAGACAGGTAATGAAGGATTAGACCCAGCTGGGGAGAACCAGGCTGCATGGTTCCTAGAAAGAAAGGACGCAGGAAAGAGGTAGTTGGGCATTTCCTCTCTCTGGAAAAGGAACCATCGAGGGGTGTGCAGGAAGGCGCTTGTACCCTGAAAGGAGAGGGAAGCTGGTGAGGAGACTCCAGGGAAGCTGCCCCAAAGGTCAGTAGCTCAAGATCAGCCATGCCACCAGAAACTAAACCCTCAGAGGCAGCGCTCTGTAATAAAGTGAGGACGATGCAGAACCTAAGAGGCGGTGAAGATCCGTGGAGGACTGGGCCCAGGGAGGGTGGAAGAGTTTCCATTCCTTTGAGAGTGGACGCTGTTCCCTGAAAGGGTGGGACTCAGCGTCACCTGGCCAGAGGGCCAAGTCACCTGCAGACCATCGAAGTCCGGAGAAGGCGGGTGAGGCAGAGGGGCTGCAATGCTGGATATCACTAGGAGGAGGTACTCTAGGATAGCGAGATATGACAATGACCATATCTTCGGCTGTGTTTGGGCAGCACAATGCTGACCTGTCCCTGACTGGGGCTACCAGGTGCTACTGCAATATAAATAATAAATAACCCTGAACCATCAAGCAAGAAAACAGGTACAGAGACTTGCCAGAGGTCATGCAGTCAGTGGCAGAGCTGGGGATAAATCCCGTAGTCCTATCTCCCAAACCCCAATTCTGACTACTTAATATTAGTACTTTCCATACAGAAAAAGATAGAATTTTGTTTCTGCACATGGATAAACTGTTAATTAGAAGGAATCTGTAAATTCTGTTAACTTGTTTAGGGTCAATATCTGGGGATGGGATGTTCCATTGGAGTGTAAAATCAGTCATGTGTTAGGAGAGTTACGCAGCACAGGTGAAGAGACGTACCTGGCCCCAAGGTCTCAAAATCAGCCAGCATCCGATAGGCTGTGCAGGGGTTGACGCTCAAGGTGGCAGCACACAGCAAAGGGATGTCGCGTGGGAGTTTCACCAGGGTTTCCTCGCTGAACACTGCATCCGTCCGCCACGTTCCTGGTTTAAAGGACAAGGCTTATTCAAGCTATGAGAAGTGTTAGAAAGACGCAGGCAAGTTGAGCAAGTAACTTCTTAGGCAAAAGTTTTCAGGCCCAATAAGGTTGGAGAGAGAAATGTGGCCTTGAGATCTAAGCATAGGCTAGGGAGGCAAAACTCCTGAATTCCAGTCCTGGTTTGGATACAGATTCCATCTCTGGCTATGGGCAAGCCACTTGAAGCTTGATTTTCCAGGGCTGCTAATTAGCTATGTACATGGTTAATGTAGCTCTCTAGGAAATGTGTACATCTTGTCTGGTGTGCACTGAATGAGGTAGGACGCTGCAGCTGCCTTTATTAGCTTGGCTAGCACAACTCATTCTTATTTAGGAATCTGTCCCTCCTGTGTAATTTTTATTTTTATAAGTTGTGTCTTCATTTACCTGCACCAAAGAAAAAATTCAAGTAGTCAAAGAACTAGTCCTTCCCCCCAAAACCAGAAAGCTGCTTTAAAAACACAATAACGAACAGTTAAGGTTGCTAGTTAGCAATGATGCAACTACCTATCATTCAAAAACAATAAAAGTGGTAAAAAATAGGGTTTACGATAGACCACCAAATCGGGAAGAGAAGGAGGTGGATGAGGCAATTCTAGAACAAACGACAGAAATATCCAGAACACAAGACCTGGTAGTAATGTTAGACATTAACTGTGCAGACATCTGTTGGAAAAGTAATGCAGCAAAACACAATGCTTCCAACAAGGTTTTGGAATGTACTGGGGATAACTTTTGTTTCAGAAAGTGAAGGAAGTAACCTGGGGAACAGCCATTTTAGATTTAATTCTGACCAACTGGGAAGAATTGATTGTGAATCTGAAGGTGGAAGGCAATTTGGGTGAAAGTGATCATGAAATGATAGATTTCGTGATTCTAAGGAAAGGCAGGAGTGAGCAGCAGAATAAGAATGATGGACTTAAAAAAACCCAAACAAACAGTCCTTAACAAACTCAGAACTGGTAGGTAGGTCCCATGGGAAGACTAAGGAAAAAGAAGTTCAGGAGAGTCAGCATTTTCTCAGTGAGACAACGGCACAACTGAAAATTATCCTGATGCAAAGGAAAGATAGGAAGAATAGTAAGAAGCCAATATGGCTCCATCAGGAGTTCTTTAAATGACCTGAAAATCAAAAAGGAATCTACAAAAAGTGGAAACACGGACAAATTGTTAAGGAGAAATACAAAAGTATAGCACAATCCCATTGGGACAAAAAATCACAATATGAGTTACACCTAGCAAGGGATATAAAAGGAAATAAGAAGAGGTTCTTTAAATAATTCAGGAGCAAAAGAAAGACAAAGGAAAGTGTAGGTCCTCTACTTAGTGTGGAAGGAGAACTAATAACTGATACATCAACAAGACTGAGGTGTCTAATGTCTATTTTGGTTCAGTGTTCATTAAAACGGTTAATGGTGACCATATAGTTAACACAATTAATATTAACAACAAGGGGGAAGGAACACAAGCCAAAATAGGGAAAGAACAGGTTAAAGAATATTTAGATAAGTTAGATGTATTCAAGTCGGCAGGGCTTGATGAAATTCATCCTACAATACTTAAGGAACAGTTAGCAATTACCTTTGAGAACTCCTGGATTGTACTTGAGACAGTTAGACAGAGCAAAGTGAATATATACCACTAGGGGAAGTTACTCTACACCAGGGGTAGGCGTGCCAAAGGTGGCACGCGAGCTGATTTTCAGTGGCACTCACACTGCCCGGGGCCTGGCCACCAGTCCGGGGGGCTCTACATTTTAATTTAATTTTAAATGAAGCTTCTTAAACATTTTAAAAACCTTATTTACTTTACATACAACAATAGTTTAGTTATATATTATAGACTTATAGAAAGAGACCTTCTAAAAACGTTAAAATGTATTACTGGCACGTGAAACCTT